GGGGAGTAAAGCACCAGCTCCAGACACTGTTTGTGCCTGCAGAACCTCGGGGGTGCTGCAGACCACCAGGACCCGGGTTTGGATTAGCCATGGCTCAGCTGAGCTGCCCGCAAGAGACAGCAGAACGGGGGCACTGCAGGGACACAGTCACCCATGGGGCTGTGTCACTGCCTGAGGGCTTTTTGCTTTGTAGGTTTCCCTACCAGGGCACTGTAAGTCATGGTGCTGTTACCGAGGTATGATAATTATGCCAGCTGGATGGACCCCGGGAGGGACCTTTTCTGTGGGTCATTCTCATGGAATCATGAACTATGCAGCCCTGGTATCCATGGGGGAAATCCGTGGGAGTTTGCCTCTCATTTTGTCCCATAGGGCAGGTGAGAGGTGCCCCAGGGCAGGATCTCAGGGTCTCCTTCAGCACTGCCTGGCTCTCAAAGGCAGCGGTCACAGCACAGCACAGCACGTACAACAGAGCTGCTCAGGAGGGTGGGAGCTGATCCCCAGTCCCTGAGCAATGTGAGGACCCCTAAATGTGTGTTCCCAGGGCCCTGGGCACTGCAGAGCAGGAGATGAGGAGAGGGAAGGGATGGACAAGGGATGTAGGGCCAGGCCAAGGGGAATGGCTTTAACCTGCCCAAGGGGAGACTGAGCTGAGCTCTTAGGCAGAAGCTCTTCCCTGTGAGGGTGCTGAGGCTGTGGGAGCTGCTGTGTGGATGGAGGTGCTCCTTAGGGGGTCCATGTGCCATGGATGGAGCCCAGCCCCACCACCAATAGGGCCCATTTGTGGTACATGCAGGGGCAGAGGCCAGGCTGTCCCATCTGCAGCACGGCTTTATCTCGGGGCGCAGAGAGGGTGGTGAGGAGCTATCTGGTGTGGGGCGTGCAGGGCGTGGGGCGCCCATGGGCTGCCCTATGGTGATAGAGGGGAGCTGGGCACAGCCAGGGTTGTGGGGTCCCATCCAGCCTCTGCAGGGCTGATACCGGTTGTTGTGGTGCCTTGCAGGGGCCGGGGATGCTGCACCAGCAGAGAAGTGCAAAGCAAAGCTCTGGGAGAAGTGGTCCAGCAGCAGAGAGTGCTCCATGCTTTGTGGGTTTACAAAGAGCCATGGGATGGGTTGGGTTGAGGCACCCCAAAGCTCCTCCAGCTCCAACCCCTGCCCCAGGCAGGGACTCCTTCCACTGGAGCAGGCTGTGACAGGACAAGGGGAAGAGAAGCTGTGGCTGCCCCATCCCTGGCAGTGCTCAAGGCCAGGCTGGACACAGGGGCTTGGAGCAAGCTCCCTCACAGGGGGTGCCTGTGACCCTCCTCCCTGCAGCCTGTGTCCCGTTTGTGCTGAGCAGATGGAAACCCCAGTGAGGGTGAGGGCTGAGAACAAAGCATGCCCTTGGTGATGGGCAGGACCAACCTGCTTCAATGAGACATCAGTAAAAAAGCTGCTTTTGCCCAAGTTCTGGTGCTCGGGGTCACTCAGAAGCTGTTTAATTCAATCTTTAGCTTTCCCCTGTGTATCCTGGCCTTTACGCCTGACCTTACCCTCTCCTGCCTTCAGCTCACTGCGCTCTGACCCCCCACAGCCTGTGACACTGGACTGGCTTTAGGGCTCTGTCCTGGGGAATCCCTTTGCAGGGCTACGGGACAGGGGTGTACGAACAGGGTCAGGTCACGTCTGCCATGGCCCCGGGTCCCCTCTGCAGCCCCCACCCCCAGGGAGGTTTGGATTTTGTTGTGGTTGGGACCCCGCAGATTTCCCTCAAAACCAAACCCATGAAGCGAAAGGCTCGGATGTGAACTAACCCATGGGGGCCTCTGCCTGTGGGATCAGTGACTCAGTGCGTGGATGAAATCCAGACAGAGCAGCGAGAGCAAGGGATGCTCCGTGGGCCCACAGGGTACAGAGGGTTAGACCAGGATCCTGGTACTGCAGAGCCACCTCAGGGCAGAGGGATTCAGTGAACCTGCAGCTGGGTTTCCCCTCAGGTTGATGTTAGGGCACAGGAGGGATTTGCAATGTCTTTGTGCTGAAAGCAGAGAGCCACAGCTCCAGGAGAAGTCTCCTTGCAGCACGAACAGCCGGCTCCCCGCCTGCCCGCTCTGCACTCCAGTCTGCTCCACATCTCCACTGGTGCCCCTGGTTTTGCTCGTTCCTATTTTCCCTTTCTCTCCTAAGGGAAAAACCTGCATTTTCAGGCATTCCCCTTGGTGCTCATGTTCAGGCTGGAGAGCACCAGTGCCAGCCAGGGGAAGCTGTGGGAGGTGGTGATTCAGAGCAGCCTGCCCGAAGCCATCGCTGACCACATCCCTCCAAGGGGGGTTAGGGCAGCCGCTCTCTGGGTTCCTTGTGCTGGTGGGAAGGCTTTGGGAAGGCTTTGCTCTGGTTCTGGGCGTGAGGCTGAAGCCCCTTTAGTCCCCAGCACCATTCCTGCAGCAGCCCTGGCAGGGTCAGTGCCTGAGCCGTGCCCCAGGGGAAGCTTTCAGGTTAAATCAAGGCACCGGTGCAGGACTGGACACAGCAGAGCTGCGGGTTGGGGCAGGCTGAGGCTCCTGTAGGAATTCACAGGGTGGCTGTAAGAGCTTATTGCTATTTTGGACTCTCCACATCCCCGGTCTCCTGCGTGACCCTAACCCAATTATCTGGCTGATTCACCTGCCATTATTCCTGGTTTTATAGTGCCTGTCCTATGGACTCGAGAGAGCTTAAAGAATTACAGTGCGTATAAACCAAGTCATTAAAAAGGGATCGATGCAGAGGAGCAGCACCAGATGAGCTTGGCTTGATGAAAACAGCCTCAGCCTCCTGTGTCCTCTGCCCTCCCCTTGCCCTCAGCTCCCTGTGACTGTCATTATCCATCCTGTGGTCCTGCTCCCTGCAACAGCAGACCCTGAGTGGGACGAAGCGTGGGACCAGGGCCTGGGGATGCTCCCTCCGAGGCATGTCTCTGCCTGGCTTTCTGCACAAAACAGCATTCATTAACCACATTTCAGTTTGATGTTAATGCTGCAGTCAGTATTTTCCTCCACGCCTCTGTTGGCCGTTGTCCTGCTTGTCCCAGCCTCACACCCAGCTCCCTGCCACCCCTCCCTGAGCATTCCCATGCTCATGGTTCGAATGCAGAAGAAAAGCATCATTTATCTGTTCTCTTTTGGAGTTCAGCTTTGCAGAGCTGAAAACGAGACCCCGACCGCAGCTGAGGCGAACCCACCCCTAATAATAGACCTAGATGTAGCCTGGATTTCATTTTCAATGCAAGCAGTGGAATTCAGGCTGCAGGATGAGAAGGAATAGCTGGAAGGGCCATTGTCCCCCAGCTGAGCACACAGCTGCTTCGGTCAGCGCTGTGCCCCCTGCCATGGGCATGACGGGAATGTCAGCAATGGATTGAGCATTGCACGTGTTTGATTTCACCCTTTGAGCCCCCCGTTACTGAAACGGGCACCGTCTGCATGCTCAGAGGGGCTGAGGGTGGGTGATGGTGTCTCTGTCCCTGCAGGTGAGGGGCCGAGCGGGTGCTGGTGCCGTTATCTGCAGGGAGCAGCCTGGCTCAGGGGCGTTATCAGAGCGGCCACTGCCTGGGGAAGGGCCTCTGGGCATTGCCTTGGGCTCAGGAATTCACCCCCACACGGATGATGGCAGCAGCCTGCGGCAGTGAGCCGGGACATGACCCACAGCCCCACAGCGATGGGCTCGTGGCACTGCTCAGGGTGTCTGCAATGGGATCAGTGCACCAGTACTGATCTGTCACTGGAGGGGGTTGAGTGGAACCTCCTAAACTGCCTCCAGACAGACCCAGCGTCCATGCTCTCCTGAGGATGCCCTACAGCCCGTGCATCCCGGTGCTGTGTTCCTCAGCATGGGAGCACAGCCTCACCTGAAGCCTGAAAAACACCCCTGTAGGTCAATGGGAAACAAGCAAAAGCCTTTGGTCAGGCCTTGAACTGGTGGAATGGATGTTGCTGGTCTGGTTTGGGGTTTCTTTATGGGATCAGATGCTCCTGGGGGTCCCTTCCAAGCTTGCATCCTATAATGGGTTGTAACATGTCCTGCTTTCCTGGTGCAAGGCATTTAACCTCCAAGCAGGGAGAGGCCAGTGTAGTCTGCCTTGTGCACCCTGTACACACATTAGCAGAGCAGAGGAGCCCGGCTCCAGTCACAGCCCCAGCACAGCATCCCAGAGGGACTCCTCAGCACTGGAGCATGAGGACATGATCCCTGTTCCATTAACACCAACCATGGCCGCACACCCGTGGGTCTCCACACAGGGCTCAGGCTGGACCAAAAGGCTGATGCTGTCCAGGCTTCTGCCCGATGGAAGGGGCCTGCTTAGGGACATGGGTTCCCTGTGTGTCTGGAGCTGCAGCCCCAGCAGCGGCGCTCAGCGTCCCCAGGTGTGTGCTCCAGTGCAGAAGGGTCTGTGGAGGCTTCAGTTCCAAGACCCGGTCATCCCTCCTGTCAGAGAAACGTCCCTCGGGTTTAGAGAGCCTGCAAACACTGCGGAGACTCAATGGCTGGGTGCTGCTGGTGTGAGGCTGCTGCAAGTGCGTGTAACCTTGCACACAGGAGCATGGAATGGTTCAGGTTGGAAGGGGCCTTAAAGCTCCTCCAGCTCCAACCCTGCCACGGGCAGGGACCCCTTCCATAGAGCAGCTTGCTCCAAGCCCCTGTGTCCAACCTGCCCTTGAACACTGCCAGGGATGGGGCAGCCACAGCTTCTCTGGGCACCCTGTGCCAGCGCCTCAGCACCCTCACAGGGAAGAGCTTCTGCCTAAGAGCTCAGCTCAGTCTCCCCTCGGGCAGGTTCAAGCCATTCCCCTTGGCCTGGCCCTACAGGCCCTTGTCCCAAGCCCCTCTCCAGCTTTCCTGCAGCCCCTTCAGGCACTGGAGCTGCTCTCAGGTCTCCCTTTCAGGAGCCTTCTCCAGGCTGCCCCAGCCCAGCTCTCCCAGCCTGGCTCCAGAGCAGAGCTGCTCCAGCCCTCGCAGCAGCTCCTGGCCGTGGGTCAGTGCCTGTCGCAGGCCATGGGGTGACCCGTTCCTGCCTGTGGTCAGCAGGGCAGGGCAGGAGATAAGAGGGAGCCGCGTCCTGAGCCCAGTGATCGAGTGCCGGGGCTGTCCCTGCAGACCACACCTCGCACGGACCCGACCCCATGGAGGGACCGACCCCCCGCGGGGACCCCCAGCGCGCCCCAGCCAATGGCCCCACGGGGAGGAGCTGCTCCAGGGGATAAAAGCCTGCGTGGGGTCCGCAGCGCAGCCACGGGTCCGTGTCCTCCTCCTGCCGCCGCCGCAGCCTCCGCCGCCACCATGGTGCACTGGACAGCCGAGGAGAAGCAGCTCATTGCCAGCCTCTGGGGCAAGGTCAACGTGGAGGAATGCGGAGCCGAGGCCCTGGCCAGGTAGGTCCAGCCCTGGGCTCTGCCCCGTGGGCAGAGGAGCTGTGGCGCTTCCATTGGGGAGCATTGACGTGCCCGTGCCTTGTGTCCCCGCAGGCTCCTGATCGTCTACCCCTGGACACAGAGGTTCTTTGACAACTTCGGGAACCTGTCCAGCCCCACGGCCATCATCGGCAACCCCAAGGTCCGTGCCCACGGCAAGAAGGTGCTCACCTCCTTCGGGGAGGCCGTCAAGAACCTGGACAACCTGAAGGCGACCTACTCCAGGCTGTCGGAGCTGCACTGCGAGAAGCTGCACGTGGACCCCGAGAACTTCAGGGTGAGCCGAGCTCGGGGCTTGACCTCCCTCCATCCCGAGAGCCTCAGTGCCTGGAGGGTTTCAAACAGGCATTGATAGCGTGTGTTTTGGTTACCAAAGGGCCTGGCCTGGGTGGGAACTGGGGAACAGGGTGGGCATGTGATACGGGACAGACATGGGGTGATGCTCTGAAAGCCTGGAGGCTCCTGCAGACATTGCTTGAGAAGAGCAGGATGCCAGGAGGTCGAGTGGGATGAGGATGGAGAGCATGGAGGGAAGTCCCCTTGTGCTGAGGCATCCTCTCCCTGACTCCTCCTGGTCCCAGGGATTGGGATCACTTATTCCTTTTTCCAAGGCTGGCAGACAGGGAAGGAGAGGGAAAAGCAAGTTTGGGATGGGCAGGGGCTGGAACCGATGGGAAGAGATGCAGGCTGGTGTCAGAGGGGACTTGTCTGAGTGTGGGGACAAGGTCAGCCCATGAGGGAAGGGAGCGGGAGGGGAATGAAGCAAAAGAGATGAGGGTGTGGGGGGGAGATGTCACTGTGGGAGAGGAGGGGGATCAGGCTGGTGGGATGGAGAGGGCTGGATGGGGCTGACAGCTTCTGGCTCAGTCTCTGCTCAAGCCTGACTTCGGGATGTAGGAAGCAGACCCCAAACTGCCCAGGCCCACATAGTCCTGGGGCTTCACAGCGGGAAAGAGGAAGTGTCTGGGAATAATGTCTAGAGCTGGAAGAAAGGTGTGGGAAGAGGCAGAGGAGGCGGCTGCTGCTGTCTGTTGTCAGCACAGGACTGTTTTCCTACACTGACAATGGGTCGCAGCCTCCAGGACCCACCAGCAATGGGGTCTTGGCAGGGGAAGGGGTGCTCAGGACCGCACTGATCCGTTTCCTTTCCTTCTCTCCAGCTCCTGGGAGACATCCTCATCATCGTGCTGGCCGCACACTTCACCAAGGACTTCACCCCTGCCTGCCAGGCCACTTGGCAGAAGCTGGTCGGTGTGGTTGCCCATGCTCTGGCCTACAAGTACCATTAAACCCCCCGCAGGGCGATGTGGCTGTGACAGTCAATAAAACCCCACAATTTCTGCAGTTCTGCCTGTGTTCTGGTGTCTCTCAGGCTTCCTGTGGGGCGGGAGGCAGGGAAAGGGGGGAGATGGGCTGGACCATCGTGCACAGAGTGATGCTGGGGTGCGCATCACATACAGAGCTCCCGTGGGACCTTGGGGGATACTGGCCTCAAACAGTGATGGGCATGTCCCAGCCCACGCAGTGTCTCTGAGCTCGCTGAAATCACGCAGGAGGGAGCGGAGGACCAGCTGCAGGGCAAGCAAGGGCCCCTCTGGCCCTGAGCCACCCAACCTGTGGTGTGTGCAAGGGGATAAATCCACGGAGATTCACCGAAGCCAGCGCTGATGGGGCAGAAATCCAGCCCTTCCCGTTCCTGCGCTGGTGTGTTCTGCAGTGCTGAGCAAAAGCGCTTCCTGGGTCAGCAATGAGAATGCTCCTGCCGTGACTTGTGTGCATTTTGGTGAGAACAAGGTATCAAGTGTGTATGATCCAAGGGAGGGGTGAGGGCAGCTTGTAAACGGGCCTGAGCAGAGGTTATTGCTTTACCCAGACTGGCTCCATGGGAGAGTGTTCTGCACTGCAATGGGAGGATTCCGCGCATCCCTTCCAGCAGTGCTTTATCAGGAACAACTGAAGAGCAGCAAGGACAGACGTGTGCTGCTCGGAGTGGGGAGACCTTGTTCTGCGTGATTCAGGAATACATCATCAGAGTGGGCCTGGGGCAGCCTGGAGAAGGCTCCTGGAGGGGAGACCTGAGAGCAGCTCCAGTGCCTAAAGGGCTGCAGGGAACCTGGAGAGGGGCTTGGGACAAGGGATGTAGGGCCAGGCCAAGGGGAATGGCTTTAACCTGCCCCAGGGGAGACTGAGCTGAGCTCTTAGGCAGAAGCTCTTCCCTGGGAGGGTGCTGAGGCGCTGGCACAGGGTGCCCAGAGAAGCTGTGGCTGCCCCATCCCTGGCAGTGCTCAAGGCCAGGCTGGACACAGGGGCTTGGAGCAAGCTGCTCTATGGAAGGGGTCCCTGCCCGGGGCAGGGGTTGGAGCTGGAGGAGCTCTAAGCCCCTTCAACCCAAAGCAGTCTGTGGTTCCATGACTCGTTCCATGACATGAAGTGGTAACCAGGCACCTCGAGCCGTGCTGCTCAAGACACAGGAGATTTCGTGTTCTGGAGGAGAGAGGGGCCTGGCCCAGGTCCAGGGGTGGAGGCTGGGCACAGCTGCCACCGCTCCTGCTGATAAGGGCTCTGGTGAAGCTTGGAGCGGGACCGCTGCAATCAGAGTGACCACCAACCTCTGCTTGTCTCAGGAGAGTCGCCTTTTGCCATTGATGGGATTCCTGTAAGGAGGAATGTCCCCATCCGTGGAAGAGGACATGGATCAGCGTGGGGCCGTGAGGTGAGGAGTGACTGTGGGCATCTTCCACTCACACCCATGGGCTCAGCTTGCTGGCAGGATGCTCCAGGCAGGAGTCCTGAGCGCAGTGACACCCATCCAGGCAGACAGCTTTCCTTCTGGGATAAGGGTGCTGCCAGGTGTTGCTGTGGGCGCACCAGGGGAAGGATCTGCCTTCGACTGTGAATGGGGAGGCAGCAACAGAAACTGCCCCCACCGTTCATGTTGTGAAGAACATTTCCCCTCCCTCCCTGTGCCACCAAACAGCCCCCTCAGCAGACAGGGCTCTGCTGGCAGCTCAGAGCATCCTCACGCTGGTGGCCCGGTCCCTGCCCCCCGCACATCGATTAAAATGTGCTAAAATGAACTTTTTTCCTCTAAAATGGGTGAGGAGGATCCCGGAGAAGCTGCAGCCGGAGCACAGGGGATGTCCGGGCTGCCCGCACTGTATGGGCTGCCAGGGCTCTCCGGGATATCGGGGCTGCCCGGGCTCTCAGACCTTTGCTTTTGGCCAATGCCTCTGCTGTCCGCAGCACACAGGGAGTGAATCCTCCGGGTGTCCGGGCTGGGAACACACTGACACCCCCGAGGCACCTCTGGGGCCTTATCCGGCTGTGAGCTGATGCTCTGACAGGCGATGGACCACTGCCTGTGTGCTGTGAGCAGCCCCTGGGCCTGGCAGTGCGGCTGCTCCTCAGAATGTCTTTGTTGTGACTAACGCGACAAGTGAAGAGCCCCGGGGGGTCTTTCATAGGGAATTTAATCTCATTTCCCCCTTTCTCCCAGCTGATGGCTGCCCTGTGGCACCAATGTAATTGCTGGCGATGATGTGAAAAGCGCTTAGGAGGAATCACCTGCCAGGATGGGAGGATGTTCCCTGTCAGTGGCACCGGGAGCTCTGGAGATGCTGCTGCCACAGCAGTGGGTGAGGAGGAGCCACAGGGACTGGTGGGGACAGGGCTGGAGGAGGAGGGAGGGATGAGGCGAAGCTCAGCAAGCCCCCGGGGCTGCTCACCTCTGGATGCTGCTCTTGCTTTAGCACCTCCCGCCTGGGATGGGCATTTGGAGCTGCCCTACGGGGTGGTGCTGGGGTAGCGCAGGGTGGACGCCTCCAGCTCTGCTAACAGAGGATGGAAGCTCCGTCCATGGAGCAGTCACGGACACTGCAGCCTCCTCATTGCTCAGGTCTGTGTTAACTGATGGAGCGCGTGCACGAACCGACACAGGGCAGGACTAGAGCTGCAGTGAGAGAATCCAGCTTCGGGCCAGGTCACCCCTTACAGATGGAGGCAGAGCTGGTCCCTGGCTTTGCCACAGCCTCCTTGCATGACTTAAAGTGCATCTTTCAGGGCATCAGGGTTTGCACAATTAGGCTGGTAAGGATGCTTTGATTCTTTGACAGCCTCTCCTGTTAGTGAGAAACACCTTGGACTGAGGTGCCCTGTCAGACAGAAAGGTGGAAAAAAGTCACACTTTTGAAGCTGTAGTAACCGCAGGGGTGGTATTGATCTGCTGGAAGAACTCAGAGTTATGTGGAGCAGGCAGATAAGAGACAGCAGAGTGCTCCTCAGATTTGTAACGACAGTTGCCAAGAAGGCAAGAGAACAGGCTCCATCCTGCATGAGGTGAGAGATCAGCCCTGCAACTGAGTCATGAAATGTGGACAAGCAATGTGGTCACGGCAGCGAAACCAGCAGCAGAAATGCTGCCTTGCCAGGACAAGGCTTATTTCTCTTGGGGTATGAGAACTCCTCTGCAGCGCAAACAGCCTCAGCTCTCAGGAGTGTGTCAGTGCTGGTGGCTGATAGAGCAAACCCACTGACCCGTGCCATGCAGACAAGGCTTACTGCATGCCTCTGCCAGGAGTCTAAAAATACAAACATGGCTCCTGCCTGGTTCTGCCTTTCATTTGGAGCACAGCCCAGCTCTGGGTTAGTCAGGCTCACAACCATGCCCAGTTGTGGCACCCAGGTATTAGACTGGGGGACATTCAATCAGCCCCATGCAGTAACGGGGCAGCCAAGCTCCGAAATAAAATGAACTCCTGAGAAACGGGAGAGCTTAGGCTGAGAACAGCAGAGACAGTGATTGTGGAGTCATGGAATGGTTTGGGATGAAGGGACCTTAAAGCTCCTCCAGCTCCAACCCCTGCCATGGGCAGGGACCCCTTCCATAGAGCAGCTTGCTCCAAGCCCCTGTGTCCAACCTGGCCTTGAACACTGCCAGGGATGGGGGAGCCACAGCTTCTCTGGGCACCCTGTGCCAGCGCCTCAGCACCCTCCCAGGGAAGAGCTTCTGCCTAAGAGCTCAGCTCAGTCTCCCCTCGGGCAGGTTAAAGCCATTCCCCTTGCCCTGTCCCTACATCTCTTGTCCCAAGCCCCTCTCCAGCTTTCCTGCAGCCCCTTCAGGCACTGGAGCTGCTCTCAGGTCTCCCCTTCAGGAGCTTTCTCTTCTCCAGGCTGCCCCAGCCCAGCTCTCTCAGCCTGGCTCCAGAGCAGAGCTGCTCCAGCCCCCACAGCAGCTCCGTGGTCCTCCACAATGATGGACAACTCTGAAGTTCTTTGCTAGGGCAGACAAGAAAGGAGGCTTTTGCATTTAAAGCTTGGAGCCTAGATTTGGGGTGATCATTCAATCCTTGATTCCCAGTAGCTTCTGGTCCTTTGAGCTGGGGTGGATGATGCCCAGCGAGAGCTGTTCAGGATGTGTCCCAGGAGTGCAGGGCACCATTAAGGGTCTGGAAACATTCAAGGAGGAGATTACAAACTCTGAACATCACCGTGTGTCTTCTTGGGTGTGCACCCCGTGTTCAGCCCCCAGCCTCAGCAACCTCTGTAATATTGGATACCTGGCCTGGGGAGGAGCCACACAGGCAGCTCAGCCTGCACATGGGCTGCGACCACAAGCGCATGGGGATGCGGTGATGCTTGTCCACTCAAAGGCAGAGGGGGAAGGGGCCTCTTTTCCCCTTGGACAGCATCCAAAGTAACCATCTTTCTTTTTGCAGCCCCAGTCAATGGCTCCATGAACTGGGATTAGCACAGGCCGTTACCGGTGTGTAAAAACCCCGGGGCAGACTCTGGCTCCGTTTCCTCCATTGATCAGGGGAGCCACAGGGAAAGCCTCCGCCGCCACCATGGTGCACTGGACAGCCGAGGAGAAGCAGCTCATTGCCAGCCTCTGGGGCAAGGTCAACGTGGAGGAATGCGGAGCCGAGGCCCTGGCCAGGTAGGTCCAGCCCTGGGCTCTGCCCCGTGGGCAGAGGAGCTGCGGCGCTTCCATTGGGGAGCATTGACGTGCCCGTGCCTTGTGTCCCCGCAGGCTCCTGATCGTCTACCCCTGGACACAGAGGTTCTTCTCTTCCTTCGGGAACCTGCCCAGCCCCACGGCCATCATCGGCAACCCCAAGGTCCGTGCCCACGGCAAGAAGGTGCTCACCTCCTCACCTCACGTTACGAGACACAAACGGAAATAAGCCATCAGGTAACGTGGCTGGGGTTGATGTTCATGTCTTGGATGGATCAAGTGGAGCAAAACCTTGTACAAAAACGTGCAGTGGGAGATGTGGGCAATCGTCACCTCCTTCAGGGAAGGAGAAATGCTTTTTTCTGGTGTTTTTTTTGTGTCTAAATCATCA